TGATATTACTGCTTAAATGATAAATGTTATATATATATATATATATATATATATATATATATATATATATATATGATGGACTCTCCTATCGTGAACGATAAATGAGGGTCAACATTGGATGGTGCCTTACGTTTTGCACATGCATGCATGCTAGCAGGGGGCTAATTGTGGAAAAAATCAGGTAAGGTAAAAGCCACACTGACAGAAGAAATTTCTTAAAAGCAGGATTACACACACACATATGTATATATATATATATATATATATATATATATATATATATATATATATATATATATATATATGATGCTAGTATTAATGCTTAATTGGTAAATATACTTATTTATGCACGTGTATATATATATATATATATATATATATATATATATATATATACACACACATATATATATACATATACATACATGCATACATGGTGGTATCATAAGTTAATTGTTAGGGATTAGAGTTATAATTAAATTTGTTTATTATTGTTTGAATTCATATGTATTTATGCGGTTATGTATACGTACACATAAGTAATCCTGAAAAGGCTATTGTCCATTCACAGAGAATATAGGAGCTCTAGGATTTAAATAATAATAAATTTACAACAGATGTGCAAAAAAAAATAGTTTCACAATAGAACTGCAAATAGATTTGTAGAGATTTATAAATAGAATAACATACAGATTAACAAAAGATTTATAACACTGACAAATAATAGAGTTAAATCATAAACACCTGATGATCATGTGTTTCTCATCAAGTTTGTAAAGCCTCTTGAAAAACAACATTTTTGGTCTTTCCGTGTGGTTTATATGTAGTGAACAAAACAAGATCTAGATTTAAAATTCAAATGCAAAGCACTGACTCATTGATTTTGTTAAAAATTAAAAAGACTCGAATTTACAATCTTCGCTTAACACACACGCAAAAGCGAATCCAAAACAAAACTATTGAAATTTCACACCTTGATGCGAAATGTTTTTCGGCCAATAGAAAACTAGGAAACAATTAAAAACAAAATTCAAATAATATTCAATTCCCAGACACAAATGTTTTTTACGGACGTTTTCGCGAGCCGACGCGAAGTTTGTTCATCGTCCAAGGGAAAGGCCCGAATCATATCCAGGAGTGAATTCCCAAATTACCTTTTCAAGCCCCACAAACAAAATAAAAGACGGGCAAGTTCGCCTGTCACCAAACAGAAGGAGACGAGCTTATTAACCGTCATTAGATGATCTGACACGCCTTGACTTCTCGGCCACGAAGAATCTCCTGGTCAAACAAAATCCAAATAGTGCTTTTGAACCCAAACCTTTTCCGATTCTCGAAATCTATATCTCAGCTCAGTTTGGTATCCTAACGTAAACAAAGACAATTTTTAGGAGTGGAGTTTTCATCTATTAATCCGACATATTTTAATTTATTGCTTAACTATTATTTTTAATTGATATCCATAGATGCTTTGTTTCCCCTAGGGGTGCAGTTTCGAATCGTCCCGGAGGGAGCATATTTTTGGAGCAAGATTTCACGAACGTATATATATATATATATATATATATATATATATATATATATATATATATATATATATATATATATATATATTAGGCAGGATGTGTGCGTGTGTGTGTGTGTAACGAATGCAGGGCCGCAATTTTCGACAGTTGCACCAAATTTACATGCACATGCTCCAACTTAGCGGAAAGACAAGACCGACTTTGCATTTGCATTATGGAAATAATCAATTTTTTTTATGCATGAAAAAATCGATTATTTCCACTATCGATGGGAGTTCGGCAGTTTCATGTAGTTTGCGGCCATTTTCTACTGGCCAGAGTGAGAGCCTATAGCTGGCTGCCACGAATAGGTAGGAAGATTCTACTGGCCAGCATGAGAGCCAACAGCTGACTGACACGAATGTTAACTAGCATGCAAAAAAATAGATAGTTGCATTCGTCACAAGTGGGAAAAATTTAAATCTGCATGGCACTTTACTCCAATTGGCTCATTCGCTTACTTAAACTCAACGTTGATTCTGATTCCGCAGAACCGGGTTGGGTGTGAAAAAGTATTTGTTGTTAACATTCTTTTTCCATTCGGTTTTTCAGTTACGAGTCCTTTTTTAAAGCTGATCGTTTTGTGTTCATTTTGTTTAGTTCTTTTTTCGTAACAGATTTAATGTTTAGTATAGAGCTTAGAAAAAATTCGCAGTGTGAAATAAGCAAGAAGTAAGGCATGTAGCAACATCAGCACGGCAAAGGGCACTTCTTTAAAGCCAAGGAAGGGCAAAAATATTTAAAGTCAACTGATAGTAATTGCTGTATGAGTCGTACGATTTTTGAATCAAGCACAGGCAATGCCGGGCCATGCTGCTAGTTTATGTATATATGTAGATATATATATCATTAGAAGGAAGAGTTCACGTGTGCTTTTTATAGTATGTAAAATAGATAGGTTGGTTATTAAAACAAAGGCAAACGAAAGGGTACCAATCTACGAAAAATATTTATTAAATATTAATTATTAACTAACCACAAGAGAAAAATGAAAAAAAAAAAAAAAAATGATGAAATTTCAGGTTTTAAGTCAGGAATTATCGGTGGTGAGAGAAATAAACAGAGAAAAGGCGAAAATTCAGCAAATGTTCTCCTTGTGGCCGGTGTGACTGCTTAACCACACACACATACACACACACACACACACACCTATATATATATATATATATATATATGAATCGAGCCCTATTGCTGATTTTCAACAGGATCTTCTCATATTCCTGGACAAGCTTCTTAGTATCCTTATTAAAGAAGAGAGAAAGATACGACGTTGATACATATTCATTTATTCGGAGTATTTTCGACATTAGCACAGTGTTATTATTAGGGTGTTTTTTTTCTAAGAAAAAATTGTTGTGCTCATCTGAAAGTTAAATTATTTTAACTGTGAAGTGAAAGACGCTAAGGTTATGAACTGTGCAGTTTAAAATTCTCTTTGTAAACGCCAAGGGAGGCAACTAAGTTTGAAATATCCATATGTTTAAAAAAATATTAGTTAAAAAAAAAAACACCCTGACGATGACTGAGCTAATCTCGAAAGTACTCAGAATAAATGGTAATTTTATATCTACCTTTAATAAGGATACCAAGAAGCTTGTCCGTGAATATGAGAGGATTCTATTGAAAATAAGTAGACAAAACTTGTCTAAATTATTCAATGAGACATATCTTAATGAAAACATGCTGCCAATGTATATATATATATATATATATATATATATATATATATATATTCCTGCTTTCTACAGAATGGCAGATGTAGACAAAGGAATCCTAACTACAATGAATTGAAAATAACTAATTTGGTTGAAAGTCAGTGAGCAAAAAATAACGAAATATTCGTACAGTTTATCCACCCTTTCGAACCCAATACTCTCACGTTATCCGAATATTTGAAATATATATATATATATATATATATATATATATATATATATATATATATATATATATATTTGAAATAGATAGATAGATAGATAGATATGATATTTTCACCCAAAGCGAACCCTTAATGTCACTAAGACTCAAGGGGTTAATGAATTGAAAATAACTAATTTGATTTGAAAGTCAGTGAGCAAAAATAACGAAATATTCGTACAGTTTATCCACCTTTCGAAAACCAATACTCTCAAGTTATCCGAATATTTGAAATATATATATTTGAAATATATATATTTGAAATATATATATATATATATATATATATATATATATATATATATATATTTGAAATATATTTGAAATATATATATATATATATATATATATATATATATATATATAGATAGATAGATAGATAGATAGATAGATATGATATTTTTACCCAAAGCGAACCCTTAATGCCACTAAGACTCAAGGGGTTACTGGGGTGAGAGAGAATGATGAGAAATCATTAGTGAGATTTCAGAAAGACAAGGTGGCGATTCAATTTTTGAAAGATTTTAGGTGTCAGGGAAGTAAGAACCTGGAGAAGTGTTCCAGAGGCGAGATGTGCGAGAATAGAACCGTTAGACAAGAAGTTGCGGTTGTTTTACCTATTTCAACAGTAAAACGATGAGACCTAAAAGCCAATCTAGTGCTACGTTTAACTTCACATGTTCGAGATACCAAACAGGAGAGCTCATTAGAAGAACGGCCATGAAAGTATTCCTAGAAAAGATAGTGGGAAAGTGACTGAAGTGGAGATGCCAGGGCAGGATCGATAATATTGCAGCCCTCTTTGTATTTTTTCGAGAATCTGGATGTACGAGATGAGTAAATATATATATAGGTGAGGAGTAGCGGCTTGGACTGAGGAATCGGAGAGCCGAGTTCGATTTCCAGTCGAATCCATTACATTCACTTATGTGGTTAGTACCCTTGGGAAAGGTGTGAATCGTCTTCTTCTCCCTCCAGGACAGACTGGGTTCCATAGCCTTGGATGGCAACTAGTCTAGGTGAAGAACAACTCTGAATTCAAAACCTGCGAAGGGTCGTTTGGGGACCCTGTGGAACGTAGTGCACCAAGTCTCTGTATTCGGCCCTTCAAAAAGTGTGGATGTTTCTGCACAAAAACCTTCACTACTATAATCAAGTCTCATGTGCTGGTGTCGGCTGTTAGTTTCCTAGGAACTGATCTGCTTGACCCTCATCCGTCGAATTCGACGGGAGAGTCCAATATATATATATATATATATATATATATATATATATAAGGTATGCTATATTTATGGGATAAAATGTACAATATCAGAGATAGAGCGTGTGGAAATATAAAAGTTAACATATATATATATGTATCATAAAGAGGTAATCATACAAAGAATTAATCAGTAATGTTAATGTAATTTGTGGCGAAATCTCTTCGCTAACAATACAAAATAATGCATTAACTTACTAACAATTCATTGAATGACGCGATCGTTACATTTAAATTACTGTCAAATGGAACAGTTGATGTTCGGTCGAATATTTTCCGAAATAGAAGAGTCGAGTATATCTATCTATCTATCTATCTATGAACATATACCGATGTTTATCGATTAAGTATATACAAATTTACTTTCGCTTTAGCGTAAACCAAGATGTTGTCTTTGACAAGGAATATGATCGTTCCCCATCGCTGTAGGCATCTTTGACACTTTATTTGTTGGGTCTTCACCGGCGACTGTTGATTGCAACACTTAGAGACGAACTGGCTTTCTCAGTTCTCTCTCTCTCACTCTCTTTCTCTCTCTCGTGGCACTTCCCACATTCACTCCTTTTTTCTTTCTCCCTCTCCTCACCGCGGCACCCACACTCGAAGCGAACCTATCTTCTAGATGCCTTTTAATTTACTTTTTTTTTCAATTTTTTTACCGCAGATACCAGATTGTTTAAATATATTTGTATTTGCAAATTGTATTATCCGTTTTTTTTATACCCGTAGAGTATAGGTATTAAAATAAACATTATATATATATATATATATATATATATATATATATATATATACTAGCAAGAGAGCCCGGTGTTGCCCGGGGATATAACAGTAAGAGTTAGATCAAGTATCGACCATCATAAAGACTGAGAATTAAAATTGACAAAGAAAAAACAATAATGAGGTTGACGGACATGCATGTCTTAGCATTTTTTTTTTAATTTTTTTTTACGAATTGGTCAAACCCAAACTCAAACAAAAACATTGTTTTCAATCGTTAAGAGTCTACCGATTGAATAGAATTTTATTATAAACAATTGTCTTGTAAATGGAATTTTGAAAGCATTCTGAATGTAAAAATAACGAAAAAAGTGTGCAAGACAATAAGAAACACTACCTGCCAAAAAAAAGTGAAGTTTTATTGAAATCGGTTGAAAAATGTAAGGAAATCCGATCCCATATATAAACGAACACACACACAAACAACCTGGGTTTTATAATAAGTATAACTCGATAAGACTTGTCCATTTTTCATTCACGCGACATTAATCATGTTTTCAAATTGATTTCATGCAAAAACAATTGTTTTTCCAATTTTTGGCGCTGTCAGAACCACCGCAAGATAATTTTACGTAGTCCTGTGAAGTTTTGTTGAAATCGGTTGTAAAATGTAGGAAATCCGATCCAATATATAAACGAACAGACACACACACACACACACACACACACACACACACACACACACACACACACACAACCTCGGTTTTATAATAAGTATGATACATATATATATACACTCTCGACTCTCCCGTCGAATTCGACGTATGAGGGTCAAGCAGATCAGTTCCCAAGAAACCGACAACAGCACATGTGAAGGTTTCATGCAGGACCATCCACACTTTTTGAAGGGCCGAATACAGACGTGCCACAAGGTCCCCAAACGACCCTCCGCAGGTTTTGAATTAAAGACTACAGCCCATCACACTCGCGGTAGCTCAGTTGGTAGAGCGGAGGACTGTAGAAGAATAAGTAATTGTTGTTATCCTTATGTCGATGGTTCTTCTCCTAGACCAGTTGCCATCCAAGGCTATAGAACCTAGTCTGTATTGCTATTTACCCATAGCTGGAGGGAGAAGAAGAGGATTCACACCTTTCCCAAGGTTATTAGCACGTAAGTGAATCTAATGGTTTCAATTAGAATTCGAACTCGGCTCTCCGATTCCTCAATCCAAGCCGCTATTCATTACTCCACCGTAAGTTGTAAGGATATGAATATGTAGCCCTGCGTTTCACGCTTTTGCGATCATCAAACAAACTCTTGTCTGGGTTACAAACTCATATCCATATAACTGAATATGTTAGTTCTCTCACTGATATTGAGCACTTTCCAATAAATACCTCGCATATATATAAAAAAAGTTATATATATATTTCTCTATTTCACAACATCGCCCACGTGACGACGACGACGTGATAATATTTAAACGGAACGCTGATCTTATATAAAGATTTCAGTTATCTGTTTGGATTAGTTGTGCTCTTATGTCCATCGTCTTTTCATGTTGAATTTTATATGTTCTAATGTTAATTATGTTTAATGAAAATGTCCTGAAGATGGTCTAAAATAGACCGAAACGTCCGACGTTGACTTTATATTAACATTAATACAGCATAATTGCATATTAAGATTTTTGTTTGTTTTTTCTGTATATTTTTCTTCATATATATATATATGGAGAGAGAGAGAGAGAGAGTGTGAGAGAGAGTGAGAGAGAGAGAGAGAGTGACGTAGGTATCATCCTTGCTTGTTTTGTCTCTTACCTCTGGAAGAATGTGTTTTATCACTTTTTAAAATCCCGACCCCTAATGAAATGGTGTGTTGTCCACACAGCCACGTTCTATCGGTTTCTAGGGCGACGTTTTCTATCGCAGATCTCACTCATAATCAGTTGTACTTATGTATCTCCACTGACTTTTAATGTGTAATCGAAACCCTCATAAACCTGGGTTCCCGACCCTGCGGAGCTGGAAGCCAATAAGCAACTGAATCAGGGTACCTGGGGATCAGTTCGGATGGTGGCATTACTTCAGTAACTAAAACTTTATAAAGGGTATAGATAGCGGATTTTTTTTTTCTTTTGATGATTCAATATAATTTCTGACCTTGCGAAAAAATACGAATTTAATTTTGGAGGGACGACCAACGTCATTCTTTATCTGCTGACGATCTCATTCCTTCCTTGTGTGAAACTGTAAAGTTACCATTCTAAATATTAATAAGAACGCAAAACTAAATCTTTCGTAGGTTCAATTATTGCTTATCCAAATTTGGACTTCGTTAATTAATGCCGATGTTAGAAATGAAAGAAATATTTGTCGCAAATTAAAAGTAGTTGATAATGCTTTATCTAATAAAGAAATTAAAATAATATTCCTACTTATAAACCTCGAGTCTGAGCAGTTGCAATAAAAAACAATTGAAATTAAGATGAAAGATATTCTTCCTCTTAGTAAAATTTATCTTTTTGTTATTTCTCCAAGACTATGTTCAGCTGTCTATTTACTTACTCATTAAGTATGTCATGCGTTGTTTTCTTCTGTCCCTCTTGCTTTAAATCTGTCCTGTGAGTATCAGATTTTCCAAGCCCTTCTGTACTGTACTGTACTGATGCGGCATTCACCCTGGGCGGATTGAGCCGGCTTCTTCCTGTTATGAGAAGAAGATTCTTGGGATAAATTACAGAAGTAGGGTACCCAGGCCTACTCGGATAACGTCCTTGCTTGCCGCGGGGTTCCCACAGACGCAGAGACAGGAACGACCAGAAGCCGCCGGTTACCGATGCAGACGCTCTTGGATTTTCACCAGAGCCCTTGTTAGCCGGCGTGTGTGTCAGACCTGTCCGCCTTGGGTGGCCCTACCAGGAACGAAGTTCCGGCGGCATAGCTCTGACACTACCGACTGTGAGGAAAGGGGTTGGACTTCTTCCTCATTAGGTTGCTCAGATATTTCAACTGTCTCTTCCTGATGATTCTGACGGAGTTTGGTAGGTTTCTGCATGTGTTTTATATATATATATATATATATATATATATATATATATATATATATATATATATATAAGTGCGCAGGTATGCAGAAAATAGAAAAGAACACGTTGGTGCATAATCCGGAGTTCCTTAGTATTTTGTTTTTATTTTTAAGAAGACAGTGCTCTATACAGAAGTAGAGCTTTTATTATAATATTTTCTTTGTTTAAAATATATATATATATATATATATATATATATATATATATATATATCATTAGGAGGAAGAGTTCACATGTGATTCTTATAGTATGTAAAATAGATAGGTTGGTTAATAAAACAAGGGCAAACGAAAGGGTACCAATATAATCAGTGCGATAAACATTTATCAAATATTAATTATTGACCACAAGACAAAAATGAAGAAAAATAAAAAATAATGAAAATTGAGGTTTTAAGTCCAGAATTTTCGGTGGTGAGAGAAATAAACAGAGAAAAGGGGGAAAACTCACCAACTGTTCTACTTGTGGCCGGTGTGATTGTTATATATATATATATATATATATATATATATATATATATATATATGAATCGAGCCCTATGGCTGATTTTCAACAGGATCCTCTCATATTTACGGACAAGCTTCTTAGTATCCTTATTAAAGGAAGAGAGAAAGTTAACACGTTGATACATATTCATTTATTCGGAGTATTTTATATAATATATATTAATGATACAATATGTTAATCCGCATCCGTGGAATTTCCAGAAGGATATGTATCCTGGGCGAGCTCTATATCAAAAGACAGAGCAAAATTATTATTAATTAAAGAATATCAAACACTTAAAATCCCATAGGAAATTATTTTTTTTTCATAAGAGCTCTAAAAACAGCAGCTCTCAATCTTTGAGCCCTACAAACAAATCACAAATGAATGTGATTTGCTTGTATGTCTTGATGATTAAGAGCTGTTTTTAAAGCTCTCGTGGAATAAAAATTATTACCCATGGGATTTTAAGTGCTTGATATTCTATAATTAATAGTATATAATCGGTTCGGTTTCGATCTGGGCTTGAGGCTTTTGGTTGTCTGGTCGCACTGAGGAGCTATCATACAGCGAAACAGTACTGTCTGCGAATGACATAATTTAGCTCTTGAAAATATATTTTCAATTGAGCTCTGTTGAATGACAAGCTAATTCTAAAATCAACGGTCACATGCGTAAATGCAAAGCTCTTCAGTAAAATGAATGGAGCACTATGGCTGCTTGGCGTTTGATTACGTTTGGAAAAGTAATACGCTAGATTTGGCTGTTTCGTTCTGTCGAGTGTAGATGGCTCAGTGGTAGAAGCTCTGACTGACACCAAATCAGTTGGATCCGGGCTTGAAGCATTCGGTTATCTAGTCGCACTGAGGAGCTCTGATCCAGCGAAACAATACTATCTGCGAATGATATATATATTGTGTGTGTGAGTGAGAGAGAGATAGAGGTATTATGCTTGCTTGTTTTGTCTCTGGAAAAGTGTTTTATCACTTTTTAAAATCACCACCCCTACAAGTTTCATTTTGTTTACATTTTAAACAAACTTCATCATTGTTCACATGTTCGGACCATGCTATTCTCATTATCCTTCTTACTAGACAAAAACTTAATAATGGTTTGACAATACTTCACACAATAAAAATTTAAAGATAGTATGATTACTTGTTTACTGATGGCCGTAAACCTTGAGTCATTGCAATAAAAAGCAACTGAAATTAAGATGAAAGCAATACTAGTCAAAAATTAATGACTACTGTCCGTCTAATAAGATTATAGTTAATATTACAACTACTAATACTGCTAGATGAAAAGTAATTAAAATGAAAGAAATTCTAATCAAAAATTACTAATGATTGACAAACCTTCATTGTAAGGAAGATCAAGATAAGTACTATTACTAATTGTGTAATTAAAGCAGCAAAAATTAAGATGCAAGAATATTTCATCTTCTGTTTGTCATGTCTCCTCAGGCGTTGGCAATGATAGTTATTCACAACTATCTGCCCTGTAAAATCAAGAAGAAAGAAATACTAGTCAATAATGAAAAATAAGAAATGTTTCATGTAATAAAAAATGAAGATGATATTACGAATATATAGATTGTGTCATTCCTTTATGGGCACATAGAATGCACCCTTAATACTTCCTCTGTTCTAATTATTTTTCCTATCTATCTATCTATCTATCTATCTATCTATCTATCTATCTATCTATCTATGTTAGTCTGAATCTATCTATCTATCTATCTATCTATCTATCTATCTATCTATCTATCTATCCATATGTTAGTCTGAATCTATCTATCTATCTATCTATCTATCTATCTATGTCGGTATGTATGTATCCATCCATCCATCCATCTATCTATCCATCTATCCATCTATCTATCTATGTTTGGTTTGAATCCATCTATCTATCTATCTATCTATCTATCTATCTATCTATCTATCTATCTATGTTAGTCTGAATCTATCTATCTATCTATCTATCTATCTATCTATCTATCTATGTCAGTCTGAATCTATCTATCTATCTATCTATCTATCTATCTATCTATCTATGTCGGTATGAATCTATCTATCTATCTATCTATCTATCTATCTATCTATCTATCTATCTATCTATCTATGTCAGTTTGAATCTATCTATCTATCTATCTATGTCGGTTTGAATCTATCTATCTATCTATCTATCTATCTATCTATGTCAGTCTGTATCTATCTATCTATCTATCTATCTATCTATATATCTATCTATCTATCTATCTATCTATGTCGGTATGAATCTATCTATCTATCTATCTATCTATCTATCTATCTATCTATCTATCTATCTATCCAATTCATTCGATCTATCTTTTTTAATGATTATAAATCTATTTCCATGTAGTTCCTCCCATTCTTCACGTGTCAATGGTTGGATGTCAACCATTGGATTTTTAAAGGTTTGTAACCTCCCTTACCAGAATCTCTGGCGAAGCACACTCTTCCTACACACTTTTTTCGCCGACGTACAAAACTAAGCTTAGTAAATAGAAATATCTATAGAAAAGACTGTCTGCAGCGTCTCGTTGAAGGATATTATTTAGCGATGAACCGACTTAGCCATGGAATGAAAAACATTCACACGAAGTAATAAAAACCTGCAAATGCTTTTCACGTAAATGTTTTTCATTTTACACTCGGCTAAAAGTTCAAGAGAAAAAAAATCCAAATCTCCCAGTTGCCTACCAAAAATAGAATCCTCCAACCATTTAAGCCGTGTGAAATCCTCGCAGAGATTATCCGAACGCTTTAATATTTTGTGTAAACGATCTTCTTTGACCAGTAACTGGTCAATGGAGAAAAAAATTGCCGTCTCCTCGGAACCGCTGTTAATATGTACGCATGTATGTACTTCTTCTTTGTGCTCCGTGTATATTCAAGATATAGGCGATCATGGCTCTTCATAATTTCCTGTCCTTTGCAGCTCTAAATAAATTGTCTTTTCCTTATTTCTAAACACTGTTCCACCATCCATTTACTCAGGCTCATCAAGTATGTTATGTGTTGTTTTCCTTTGCGCCTCTTTCCCTCAAGTTTTCCTGTGCGTGTCGGATATTCCAATCCTTCCTTCCTTGTTATATGTCCGGAAATTTTAACTATCTTTATTAATATTTCTGAGATGAGGTATTATTCGCATTATTCGGACTATTGTCCTTATCTTTGTTGCCATATTTATTACAACGTTTCGGCTCTTCAGTATCTGTCTATATTTCTGAGATGAGGTATTATGTACATTATTTACATTATTCGAACTATTTTCCTCATCTTTGTTGCCATATATATTACAACATTTCAGCTTTTCAGTATCAGTCTATATTTCCGAGATGAGGTATTATGTACGCTATTTACATTATTCGAACTATTGTCCTCATCTTTGTTGCCATATATATATTACAACGTTTCGGCTTTTCAATATCTGTCTATATTTCTGAGATGAGGTATTATGTACACTATTTACATTATTCGGACTATTGTCCTCATCTTTGTTGCCATATTTATTACAACGTTTCGGCCTGTCAGTATCTGTCTATATTTCTGAGATGAGGTATTATGTACACTATTTACATTATTCGGACTATTGTCCTCATCTTTGTCGCCATATTTATTACAATGTTTCGGCCTTTCAGTATCTGTCTATATTTCTGAGATGAGGTATTATGTACACTATTTACATTATTCGGACTATTGTCCTCATCTTTGTTGCCATATTTATTACAACGTTTCGGCCTGTCAGTATCTGTCTATATTTCTGAGATGAGGTATTATGTACACTATTTATATTATTCGGACTATTGTCCTCATCTTTGTCGCCATATTTATTACAATGTTTCGGCCTTTCAGTATCTGTCTATATTTCTGAGATGAGGTATTATGTACATTATTTAAATTATTTGGACTATTGTCCTCATCTTTGTTGCCATATTTATTACACCGTTTCAGCCTTTCAGTATCGGTCTATATTTCTGAGATGAGGTACTATGTACATTATTTAAATTATTCGGACTATTGTCCTCATCTTTGTCGCCATATTTATTATAACGTTTCGGCCGTTATACGCTCCTGCCTTCTTCAGGTGGTTGGAATGTCGAACTGAACCCTTTATTTCGCTCACTGGTGTAGACTAGTTCCACGTGCCATGTTTAATGGATGTCAGTTATCAGTTATCTCCTATTAATTTCTCTCTGAAAGTTCTCCACTGCCTTGGCCGGGTATTGAACTCACACTCTTTGGTTCCTGTCACTAGATCTAACCAACGCCTTTAGTTAAGGCCGTGGAGAACTTTCAGAGGGAAATCAACAGTAGATAACTGAGATCCATTAAACATGGCACGTGGAACAAGAACAGTCTACCCCAGTAAGCGAAACGAGTTATGTTCGACATTCCAACCACCTGAAGAGGGCCGGAGCGTAAAACGGCCGAAACGTTGTAATAAATATGGCGACAAAGATGAGGACAATAGTCCGAATAATGTAAATAATGTACATAATACCTCATCTCAGAAATATTGTCCAGGTTGCCGAACATTTCTTGCAGAGCTTTTTGGCGTACTTTATCAAACGCCTTTGCGTTGCCAATAAAGCACAGATCATTTTTTACGCACCGTGTCCCTTCAGAACGTGGACTACCCACTACTGACGGAAAATGCAACACTGAAATACGAATGTACGATGCATTCCAAAAAACTAAGCAAGGTATGAAGAAATGGGAAGAATTCATTAGAAACGAAGAAAACATTTCTGAACTGTTACTGATGGACAATCTCATTACATTTGAAGTAGAGGCTTCAAGCAACAGAAATGTGGTTCTACAGAAGGATACTGAGTATACCATGGTCTGAACAAGTGAGCAATCAAAAAAGTTTTAGCGAAAATGGAAACAAAATATACTTATGTTTAGAAGTAAAAAGAGACAATTGAAATTTATTGGGAACATAATAAGAAAAGAGGGTTTGGAAAACTTAACACACACGGGATATGTTGAAGGCAAAAGAGATACAGGAAAACAACTCATAGATCACCTAACGAGCTTGTGTATATGGTTGACAGAACATAGATTAGGGGAGATTGCAGAAAGACAACAGCCGTCGTGGGTATGACGATAAACTACATCCGCGTCCTGGGTAAGACGATAAACTACGTCCAGCAGCAAGGCCTCTGAGCAGGAGGTTTTGAGGAGCGTGGAACCACCTCTTAATTGCTGGTGTTCCCAGGAAAGAAACGCATAGTTCATCTAACGAGCTTGTGTATATGGTTGACAGAACAGAGATTAGGGGAGATTGCAGAAAGACAAAATTTTATTAAGAGCTACAAAAGACAGGAAGTTGAGGAGAGCCATGATCCCTAACGGTATGAAATAACAACATATAAAAGAAGTAACGTTTGTCTTTTTACTATCTCTTTCACTGTCTCTTCTGCCAGCCATTTATACAAGTTTGTTAAGTATATTTACTCAAGCGGGAAATAATCTTTCTTTTGAAATATCAATGGTTTATTAAGGACATCAGTAACTGCTATAAGATTGACGATGGACCTCGTAAAAGAAATGATATGAGATCCATCACCCGGCGTGAATAAATAAAACACATGTTCTTTCAAGTGTCCTTTACAAATCAAAGTTGAGTTGTGTTCAGAATTATTCGACCCCCTTGGCTACTGTCGCCGATGAACATGGCTCATAACTTGCTTTGCCACGTTTATGCGTAATGAGAAGTCGCTAACTGGAGGACGACTCCCATAGCACCAGATCTAAATTATACATACATCTGCTGTACGTATGGATATTTTAAAAAATATATTAAGCTCCTTCCCAGTCAGTACCTCTCCTTCGAGATGGGGTTTGACGGTTAAGACTGGACTCCATGAAAAAACCTTTCTCTATCTGTTATAGTGGAACACACCTATTCTATATTTAATAGACTCTCCGACCTATAATAAGTAGGAGTAGTAGCAGTCGCTGAGTCGCTGAGTCGCTTAGGGAGTGGGTCAGTCAGTCGATGTCGGACGACCGTTAGTCGGATATTAAAGTATCAGCCACCACAACTAGATTACTGCGTCATTACCTATTATATCAAGTTCCTATTGTTTTGTACGACGAACCTATTTTAGGACCGACAAATACAAGCCTCCACTGTGAAACAACTACATAACACTATCTATCTTTCCCACGCTAGCTCAGGCAATCAAATTCGACTTCCCATATTATGGCTTGCATCTGACCCCGAAGCTCAACCTCAGGAAGTCTCTTTGTTCGAGCCATGTACTAATCATGTACTTGTGAAGTCTGCTTACCCCAGCTGATGACTATCGGGAAAATAAAAATTCAAATTCATTTTTGTGACAGGTTAAAAATTCGGTGCTGTAGTGGGCGCACGGAAAAAAAATACACATAGATTTATATATTTGAGGAAAATACTGTCAAAAAGAGAGACATTTTGTGTCGCTGCATTTTAATGATCAACTTTTCAAAGTTAGGAATAATCCTTCTCAGACAAGGAGAAATTTTCGTCAGATATAACCCGAATATCTAAAAACATACGTTAAATCATGAAGTGAAATCAGCAATATGATTCGATCTGAATAATAAGTAGATATGACAGAGTAGGAACAACCTATGATGGGAATTATGCAAAATATTTTCATACGGCCAATTAAACAAACTGGATATTTTCGAAAATAGAAACAATGCTCTGGACATATCAAGTTGAAACACCGGTTCTCGTATGATTACCGAAGGTAAGAAACCTCGAGCCTGGTCAGTACCGAGATGGGGAATCGCTTGGGAATACCAGGTGCTGTAAGCTTGGACGTGCGGGTAAGCAAATGGATGACATTTCGGAATTGGAAATCGGAGAGCCGAGTTCAAATACAAGTTACGTTTGTTACTTATATTCACTTACGCACGTATACCTTTGGGAAAGGTGTGGATACATCACTTCTCCTCCCAGCTATGGGTTAATTAGTAGGACCTGTATCAGTAAATCATTATTCTCTCCCAAAAAACATGCTTACACTCTAAAAATACTTTATAGCTTTAAATAAACTGCAAAAGGATGATAACCCGTAAAAAATAGATCAATCAATTTAAATCTAGATTGATTGTTTCATCTAAGCTAGATAACTGGATCGTTCACGTGGCTGTACCGTGGACGTTAAGGCGAAGATAAACAAAAGAAAAAAACAAAAACAAAAAAAAAACAAAACAAAAAACAAACAGATAGAAACGCTAAAACAAACAAAAAATAGTTGAGACTACCCGTTACGTTTGTTATTTATATTTACTTACACTCAAATACCCTTGGAAAAGGTGTGAGTACATGTCTTCTCCTCCCAGCTATGGATTAATTAGTAGGACTTGCATCAGTAAATGATTATCATCTTTAACACATGCTTAGCCTCTAAAAATACTTTTTAGCTTTAAATAAGCTGCCAAAGGATGATAGAACGTAAAAAAATATCAATTTAAATCCTGATCGATTGCTTCATCAAAGCTAGATAACCAGATTGTTTACGTGGCAAAGATAAAAAACAAACAAACAAACAAAGAATAGAAACGCTAAAACAAACAAAAAATAGTTGAGACGATTAAGGCACTTTGTTGGCAAAATAAATGTGAACTCATTTCTTGGGTCGGAGTTTAATCTCAAACTCAGTTACTATTTAATTCTCGTCACACAAAATGTGGCATAAGGACGATTTTATTGAGAGATTTCAGATAACGACGAAAAATTGCTCAATCCCCTTCGAAAATTATCCTTTTGGGGACACCTCAGGCACCCGGTAATGACTTCAGCTCCTTCTCGAATGAGAGCTACGGTCTGGGAGATGGCCTTCTTGGAGGGGGGGCGGTCGAGCTGATATTAATTTCGACACCCAATCCGGCTGGGACGACTCATGGGCATGAACAGGGGAACGAGAACAATTTATCCTCTTAGATTAATCAAAGAGTTCCATTTGAAATTCCCTGAAGAAGAACGTGGGCACAATGCCGAAACATTGTAATAATAACAACAAAGACGAGGATATTGTCCGACTCTAAATAATGATTACTCCTCATCCCAGAAATTCAAACTAAAAACTGTAAAATGTTGAATGCACTAAAGTAAATATCAGTACCGTAGAAAGGATTGTTAGTTTTCTGATCTTTACTAGTTGAACATAACATCTGATGGATGACTTACTGTTCATCTATGTTTATGAGCAGGAGTAATTAGATTTCATCATGGCTGAGTGTTGGAAAGATTTTTTCGTTTTTTTTTCCTTTAATTTTAAAGGATGAAGCAGACATGGCGTCTTAGAAGACACCTCTAGATATGTGCGAACATCTCCAATCGGAGACCGTCTGAGTAGACGGGGTTACCCAACGGGAAGCTGTTTCTAACTGGGGTCCTCCTGTAACGTTAAAACCCGTAATCATATCGCCAACATTTGGCTATGATACATATGTCTTGTAAACACTTATTCGACCGGCTGTAATGATAAGTATATTGGGTTACGTATATTTGTACATCAGCGTCATTCTGTTGCCGTGCAGAAATAATATTCAACAATAAGAAGAGAGATAAAAACAACATCCGAGAGGAGAGTGTTCGGCGATATAAGTATCAGCTGATATCTTTTTAAGTGGAACACAAATGACCTGTCACAAAAATGAATTTGAATTTTTATTTTCCCAATAGTCATCAGCTGGGGTAAGCAGACTTCACAAGTACATGAATAGTACTTGAACAAAGAGACTTCCTGACGTTGACCTTCTGGATCAGATGCAAGCCAATATATGGGAAGTCGATTTTGATTGGCTGAGTTAGCGTGGGAATGATAGAGAAAGGTTTCTTCATAGAGTCGAGTCTTAACCATCAAGTAATGTAGACGTGTTCTTTTTCTTTCTGTCTAAAACGCCCCCACCCAGCATAGTGAGTGGGAACGGCCCACACTGGATAGTTAGTACATGTCGACATTATTAAATAGTTAAATTAAAATTCTCCATGTTGAGTCTTTTATTTCTGGACCCAAAACATCTAGCGATCACTGTCCGAGAGAGAAGATGCAACAACGAGTCAAAGAATAATGTTATCTATAAGACAGTGGCCACTACTCGTGAAAATGCAGAGAGACAAAGAGCGCCTACGAAGAACGATCTGAAATAGAAGACGCCCGTTAGACTTTTCACTTTTCATATACATTTCATTTCAGCTTCGCTCTTCTATAGCAGCAGGTTACAATCTGCTACAAATTTTCATGGCATTAATTCGTGGGTAACGATCTGGCTGAAGGGGTATTTATAAGCTTCAAGAGCCTGCACCATGAAAATGAATCTGGTGTCTGGTCTAAGTTGCAAAGCTACAAATACCAGGCAAAAGAAGCATTTGACGTGTACGCATATTTCTTTTATATTATTCTTGTATAAAATAGTTCTAATGGATAACAAAACAGGTATCAGTCGAAAGAACTGAACTACTATAACAGTGATATCATGAAGACATTGAAAAGAACACTTCAGATATCTTGGAATATTGTGGGAGGATTCGATTTAATAGAATAACAAGAAAAAAGAAAATAAGAATATCTTCGAGGAACAAGGAAACTTTGGTATACGAGAGTGAACAGCGAAATCTTTATCAAACGAGTAAATCCATTGGTAGCAGCCATAGAAAGAAAACACATCGACCATATCTCGTAACTTCTATTTCTTTATCATTTCGCCCAAACAATTGCCGCCTCTCAGCCATAAATTCTACCAATCGTTCTCACTCGATCGCCATCATCAAATTGACTGATCGCCCATCAGTCTAAGCTTTGCAGAGGTTAACCTGCCTAAGCCATCTTATTGACTTCTCTTCTGTACTGTGATCGATAATAGACAAAAGGAATGTGTAGAAGAAAAATTTCTTTCTTCTTCCTTTGCTCCTCTCATTATGCTTTGGTGAGTTTTTTTTTCAAATCTTTCAACCCGCACATTTCTTTCTTTCTTTCTTTCTTTCTTTCTTTCTTTCTTTCTTTCTTTAGTCAATTTTTTCTTTCTCCTTTCTTTCTTTAGTTGATTGTTTTTTTTCGTTTCTTTCTTTTGTGAATTGTTTTCTTGCTTTCTTTCGTTTTCGAATGATTTTCCATTTTTTTCTTTCTTTTTTCTTTCTTTCTTTCTTTAGTCGATTTTTCTTTCTCCTTTCTTTAGTCAATTGATTTCTTTTTCTTTCTTTCCTTTTTCTTTCTTTTTCTTTCTTTCTTTCTTCGATTGATTTTCCCTTCTTTCTGTCTTTCATTTTCTCTTTCTTTCTTTAGTCTATTTTTCTTTCTCCTTTCTTTCTTTTGATGACTGATTTCTTTTCTTTCTTTTGGCAATTGTTTTTTTCGAATGATTTTCCATTTTTTCTCTCTTTCTTTTTTTTAGTCGATTTTTCTTTCTCCTTTCTTTAGTCAATTGATTTCTTTTTCTTTCTTTCTTTCTTTCCTTTTTTTCTTTCTTTTTCTTTCTTTCTTTCTTTCTTCGATTGATTTTCCCTTCTTTCTGTCTTTCATTTTCTCTTTCTTTCTTTAGTCTATTTTTTCTTTCTCCTTTCTTTCTTTTGATTGATTTCTTTTCTTTCTTTTGTCAATTGTTTTTTTTTCATCTTCCTTTTTTGTTACTTTCTGATTTTTCATTCTTTCTCTTTTCGATACTTTTATTTTTCTTTCTTTCCTTTTTGATTTATTTTTCTTTCTTTCTTTCTTTCTTTCTTTCTTTCTTTCTCCTTCTTTTCTTTTGATGATTGATTTCTTTTTTCTTTCTTTTCTCAATTGTTTTTTGCTCTTACTTTCTTTCTTTTTTTGTTTATTACCGTTTTTTTTTATTAAATTCTTCTTTTTCTTTCTTTCTTTCTTTCCTTTGATGATTGTTTTCTTTTTACTTCCGTTCTTTTGTCATTTGCTTGTTTTCTTACTTTCTCTAATCAAACTTTTCATTTGTGTTCTTTCTTTTTCTTTCTTTCTTTCTTTTGACGATCGTTTTCTTTATTTCTTTAAAAACTCCTTTATTTCCCTCTTCTTCTTCCATCTGGTCTTCATTAAATCTTGTTTTCAACGTTCCTTCTTTTCTTTCTACCCGTTTTTCTTTACTTTCTTCTTCGTTCCCTATTCTTCTTTTCCAATTTCGTTTCTTTCTTCTTTCTCTTTCTTTCCTTCCATCCTCTTCTTTCTTTCTTCAATTCTCCCCCCCTTTACTGCTTTCTCATCCTCTTTCTTGCCGACGTCGAATGTCAGATCGTCCCGTCAATGTCGAAATCCTTCGTAAGCATGTTGATATAGTCGTCGCTTCATGATGTAGCAAGTTTCCATGCGGTTGAGTGCGGTTTCAATCTTATGTTATAAACTTTAGCAACACAAATTTTAATATTTTTTGTTTAATGCCAAGTACTTTCATTACTAGGCGATCATGGAAAGGAATGGCCATGACTTTTTGTGAAAGATAGTGCAGGTGGTTTCCCGTTGCCAGAATAGATATCAGAGTAGTCTGTCTCCCTTGAAAATGTGGGCGACCATAGATCGCCATTGCTTTCTTTTCTTTAGTAGAAAAGTGCTACGACTACTTGGATAATATAATGAAACTGTTTCCCATTGCCTTCGACATGGTTTTTAATTCAGGACAGTCTTTCCACTTTCCGGACGATCATGGCTCTCCACAGTTTTCCTTTCTATATTATCTCTGAATCGCCATAAATTCTTGTGAACGATAGTAGAGTCGTTTCTCATTGAAGAAGGAAATGATTATGAATAATGGAAAATAATAATAATAATAATTAGATGAATAAAAAAAAAAAAAAAAAATTAACATGAAATGTTATAATAACAACACACCACGACCTGCCTTAGGTCTTTCCGCAGACTTGGTAGGTAGTGTGTCCATAGCAGAAATCGAATGATGATGATGATGACAATATTAATAATAATAATAATAATAATAATAATAAGAAGAAGAAGAAGAAGAAGAAAACATGGAGACCACTAACATAATTTTAAAAAAGGAAGAGAAGCAAAATTTGATACAATGACATCACCGGCATTAGCCGGTTATGAAGAAGATGGCGAATGAAAACATCAAGAAAAAATAACCGCTTTTCTATTTGTGTTTTTGTTTAAATAAATTCGACGGACCTCTTTTAAAAAATGGTTGCCGTAATAAATATTATCTTTTCCCCGCTTTTATAAGCAAAATCTTTTGGGAAAGCAATGAAGCACAAACTGTTTCCAAATTATCCTAACAAAAAATAAAACAGAAACGACTTTAAGAATAATTAAATTGGGCTCCGCCCGTAGTACAATAATTAGGTATATCATCTCGCAACCAGGTCCGTTATGCTTGCGCGTTCGATCCCAATCGGCTGCGCTTATTGTGGCCTTCTTCAGGATAGTGAGCTCTAGTTTCCAGTCGTCGATGTTCGAGCCCGTCTAAAAGGTAAGATTACAAATGCATGCATTATATCCTCATTTAAAATTGACGCAACACAGTCTTCTTTCATCTAAATGTAAAAAGGTTTCCTTAAATAACTTCTCACAATTTCCGTCCATTAGAATTCTTCTGGAGAATCAAATCTTCACTTTGATTTGAAATTGTCTATCATTCACTGTCATATAGGAGGTTTCATATAAACATTAGGTCTCTTTTCTTTGTTTTGTAAAAAAATCTTGTTTCTTAGGACTTTCTTTTGGTTACATAGTATTCAAATAACATCTTGAAGCAAAAAGACAAAAAGTAAAACAAAAAACACGCGCGGGCACATAAACACACACAATCTAAATATACGAGTTTAAAATGCGGAATATTTTTGACATTTTTCTGACATCTTTTTGGCATCTTTCCGACATCTTTCAGACATCTTTTACATCTTTTTGACATCTTTTTGACATCTTTTCCTTTGCGTTTTAGTTTATTTCCTTTCTTAACTCGTTTTTTCTTAAAATTCAACAGTTTTGCTTCTTTCTTAAAATCCTTTCTTTTCTTTATTTCTAACGATTTTTTTTTCTCCACATATTGTCTTTTAATTCCTTTATCTTCCGCTTCTCTTTCCTTTTTTCTCCTTCTTTTACTACGAATTTTCAGGCTTTGGCAAAACCCTCGACGTTCATATTTCAGATCGCACACCGGGATAGGCCACTACCCCGTCCATCTGCTAGCCTCTAAATTTCAGTCCCCGCCCTTGCGGCTTTCCCACAAGGATTCCTTCTTTCTGATGTTCTCCGTGTGACTTATGGCTTTGTCGGTGTCGTAACGCCTGACGCGGTCGGCTCTAATTTGTAAGATCTCGCGTCAATGCCAGAGATAAGAGCCGGCGATGCGGATAAGGCCCGTTCTGCCGGACGTCTAGCGTTTCTCCACTGTTTAATGAATGTTTCAAGTGAAAATATTGTTTAGAATTATAGGTGCAGCTGTTGTAAACATGTCAGGAAAGAGAAAGCCGTTCGCACGCACGCAATGTTTATGGTTGCCGGACAGGTAATGCAGAAGGTGGCAAAGATGGAGGCGGATAACTATGCACATCAGACGGAGAGAAGATTCAAACTTGGATACGAACCCGAGCATCTTGGCCGTAATCCACGCAATTATCTCGCTTTGCAACAGAAACACTATCTAGACGGTTTGTCTGTCTGTTCGTCATTTTCCATCGGGTTTGTTGTATGGTTGCCAGCGACAGGATACTAAGAGTCAACCCGTCGCCTGCGATGGCAAGTAGAGGTTAAGGAGAAGGAGAGATAAGCGTCTTCTGGTAAGGTAACCGTCCCTACGATATTTTTCACTGATAGAGATTTACTACATACGGAGTGGTCCGAAAGTCTTGTCACCGATACATAATATAATTTTCTATTTCAGATGGCTGACACGAAAATAAGTTTCATACAGATGTACTCAATGTGTGACAACGTCACTGAAACTGAATAAACTGAATCAAGTTCATGTGCTTTAATGTGTATTACTGCATTATTTGTTCTTATTACTTTTTGGTAGGGGTGACAACACTTTTAGTCCACCCTGTATATCTTAAAAATTACTGACATATATAAAAAAAATAATAGTAAAGACTGGCTATTGGCTTCCCGAGCAAGAGTTCGCCTATTTATTTACTATTTATTTATTTTTTCTAGCAGGAGTAGATAGGTTCGCCTATCGTCCGGTTCACACTCCTCTACGGTCTTTTGAACAGGGTTAGAGATTAATCTCTCGTTTCCTGTTTAGGATTGCGTTTCCGGTTCTTTCTATTGTCTACTTCAAATCTACACTTCTAATGTCACCGCCTAAATTCTGAAATTTTATTTACTATTTATTTATATTTTTTCTCAATAGGAGTAGATAGGTTCGTCTATCGTCCGGTTCACACTCCTCCCCTGGTTTTGAACAGGTGTAGAGGTTTATCCCTAGTTTCCTGTTTAGGATTGTGTTTCCGTTTATTTTTAATGTCTACTTCAACTTTATACTTCTAACGTCTCCGCCCAAGCTCTGAAATTCTAATTACTATTTATTTATATTTATCTCAATAGGAGTAGATAGGTTCGTCTATCATCCAGCTCACGCGCTCCCCCACCCCCGGTCTTCTAGACAGGTGTAGAAGTTTATTTCCTATTTAGGATTGGTTCTCCTGTTTCTTCTAAAGCTTTTTTCCTTATGTAACCCTCTACCTCGACTGACGTGAGAGAACATGAGATTCGAACCCGGGTAAAACAAACATTCTAGCTACCCAGATACGCGCCCAGTACATTCATAAGGACAAAAATAATTTTTGGATAACAGTCGAATGAAAAATCTCATGTTAACTATTATTATCTATAAAATATATGTCTGGAGGAGAAAATAACTATAATTACCATCCCAGATAAACACAAATTATATATATATATATATATATATATATATATATATATATATATATACATACATTCATATATATATATATATATATATATATATATATATTTGTGTATTTAGGCAGCATATTTTCATTTATACACGTTTCATTAAATAATATAGACAAGTGTTGTCTATTTATTTTATGTAAAATTTTTTCGTATCTTCTGATAAGTTTGATAACATAATCATTAACCGAAAAAAGAAATTCACAATATTTATCCATTATTTTTTTATTTTTTTATTTTTTTTAATATAATCTAAGCTTTCGGCTACTCAAGCCATTATCAAAGATGTAATTACAAACATATCAAACAATATACGGACACGACAGTGATGATAGTCTGTCATTGTTTAGTTTACATAGTGGATCACTAAGCAACGATGAACACGCGCATATAAGACGCTAGAAGCGAAAATCGCACCGCATCTCATGACGTCACACATGACTACACGAGAGTGAATTGGAGAATGAAATAAGGAAAGCCGTTGGTATAAACCAATGGCTTCTGTTACCAATTATAGAAATTATAGACATTTAAGAATATTTGTAGAGATTCCATAGTTGATTTTGTTTAGGTTGGGTTTTAACTGTTTGATGTATAATGCTTAGTTAGGTTTATGTGTTTTTATAGTGCCATATATGTAGCCAGGTCTATAATCACCAATAATTTTAGGGAGTTTTAAAGAGTTCTGTTCAGCATTATTATCAAACTTATCAGAAGATACGAAAAAATTTGACATAAAATAAATAGACAACACTTGTCTATATTATTTATGAAACGTGTATATATATATATATATATATATATATATATATATATAATAGGAAGGAACTGGTTAGGTAAATAATCCAAAGTCTTATTGCATTTAAATATTTGAAGATTAAAGTTGGCTGGAAAGCATGGAACCGGAATGTAACTGCACAAGCGAGAAGTGCGAGAGAATAAACTGCTAGCATAGAGTTTACGGTTACATCTCGCCAGCTCAACAGTAAATTAATGAGATTTCGACACCATTCTAGTACTGCGCTTAAATTCAAAAAGTCTAGGTTCCCCAGCAAAGAGCGATATTTATTTCCGTATTAATACAGAAAATGTGGCACAAGGCCAAAAATGGAGATTGGGGAAAAAGACAGTCTTCTTCTGTCTTAATATTAAACTTAGCAACAAACACTGACCCAAACATACAAACAATATTCCTAACACCAAAACACATTCTTACTTACCTTTCTTACTACATTTACCATCATACCTCATTGTCTCTATGAAAATCCTAACATATCCCCATATGCAAAAATCATTGTCTGGCGGGGGGGAGGGAATAAAATAACAATTAAAAAATAGCGCTCCAATGTGTACTATGGCGAAGAGATCATCCGAACAATTGGCATGAAAATATTTAGAGGCCACCTTATGGCGGTGGGCCAGTGACTGAAACTGAGCCGCCAGATCACGGACAATAATATTGCAGATTCTTCTTTGAATCTTATCAACTATCTCAAGGTAAATAGCAGAGGCACCGCACCATATATGACAGGAATATTGTAAGCATAGACGAATGGTAGACTTATAGATATGCAAGAAACTAAACTGAAATGAAAATAAATTATTTTTATTGTAGGTATCCGTTTACCTCGTGAGATAAAGGTAACGCTTATTTTGGTCAAAATTCAGTCCTTTGTGGGTGAGACTGGAGTGATCTCTTCATGTATCAGGCCTGGATGATGGTATATGGAGGCTTTGCGCTGCTCAGACCACATGTCCTCTCATCTTGCCACTAATGCCACTAAAACCCAATGGGTTAGATGGTTACATGTTGTGGAAGAATTAGGAACAGAAACATTAAAGATGAGGAGAAAGAAAAGAGCATAATCAGGTGAACAGAAGATAGCGCTTGATAGTGCATTTAAATTTTTGCAGAATAAGGTTAGCTGGAAAGTATGGGGCCAGAAGGTATTTCCACAAGGGAAAAGTGCGAGAGAAGAAACTGTTAGCATAGAACTTACGGTTACATATAACCAGCTCGACTGTAAATAGATGAGATCTCTAGTACTGCGCTTAAAATCATAAAGACGAAGTACCATAGCGAATGCGCGTTCGAAAAATTTCCATAAAAGTATTTATAGAAGACATAGCGAGGCAACTTTATGGCGGTGGGAAGATGACTGGAGCCGAGCCGCCAGATCAGGATCAATAACATTGCAGATTCTTCTTTGGATCTTATCAAGTGGCTGAAGCCGTGCCGCCAGATCAGGACCAATGATATTGCTGATGCTTCTTTGTGTTTTATCAAGAAGCTCGAGATAAATAGCAGGGGCACCGGACCATATTAGTTTAGTTTTTGAAGCGTTAAAATTAACAAGTCATCTTTTACCTCAGTTAACGACGAACTTGTTTTGAACATCGGATGCCATTTTCATGTTGTCGTACTGATCAGCCTCATTCTCGAGGAAGGAGTAAACAGAAGTGTGAATTTAGTAAACATAACGAAGAACTCTTCCGAAAAATTACCATTGAAGTATTTATAGAAAAGACACAGAAAAATAACCTTACGGCGGAGGGCAAGTGGCTGAAGCCGTGTCGCCAGATCAGGACCAATAATATTGCTGATGCTTCTTTGTGCTTTATCAAGAAGCTCAAGATAAATAGCAGGGGCACCGGACCTTATGTGGCAGCAATATTCTAAGCACGAACGAATGGTAGACATAGATATGTAAGATAGATCCCGGAAAGAAAAACACCTTTTTTAGCAGCTGACCTAGAAATAGATTCAATATAGTCTTTCCACTTCATGTCTGCTGAGAACATTAGCCCAAGAAGGCGCAAAGAGTCACTTTCCTAGAGATTGGCATCCGCTATGCTGATGGAAAGCAGAGAGGGTCTCTCGGATGATTAATGAACAGAAGTTTAGTTTTTGAGGCGTTAAAATTAACAAGTCATCTTTTACCTCAGTTAACGACGAACTTGATGTCGTTTTGGACATCGTATGTCGGACTGATCAGTCTTATTCTCGATGAAGGAATAAACAGTAGTGTCGTCGGCGTAGATGCCATCGCAAAAATCGTTAATGAAAATTAAAAACAGCGTAGGAACAAGGATAGAGCCCTGCGAGACACCCGAAAGGATGTAGACGAGTGGCCGTTTAGGATAACACTCATTTCAAGATTTGACTGAATCAGTTCAAAAAAAGTTTTGGGAGACACTTTTCAAATTGTGGAGAAGACCTGAATGCCAAATTCGAGATGCCCAATGCTACATCCTGGGCTTCACCGCTTTTATCTAGGGCATGATAAACTCTTTGTCATCAGTACATCAGCAGTTGACATGGGGAAACGAAAGTCATATTGCTTGTTTGAGAAAAGGCTCTGCGATGAAAGATGATGAACCAATTCAGCATTGATTAGAGCCTCTAGGTGTTTTCCAAAAAGAGGTAGAAGGCTAACAGGCCGATAGTTGGAAGGGCCAGACGGTTCACCAGAGTTCTTTAAAACTGGAACAACAGACGATGACTTCCACTAGGCAAGAAAGCAGGAGACAGCGAGACATTTATTATATAGTTTAGAGAGAACAGGCGTGAGCTAGGGAGCACACTTCTTAATGACTATTACAAGGATACTATCGTGTCCATATGGTTTATGGGGAGCCGTGTTAGAGATGATAGCAGAAACCATAGAAGGGGTTAAACGCATATAACTCAAAGAGAGACAGTTCTAAATGGGAAGTTAGACAGGGAATCTCCAGATGACCAAAGAATAGAGTTTAAGGAG